TATAGGCAAACACGGCAGCCAATTCGCGCACAGAAATGTCACACAAGCAGCCACAAAGTGGCTTTTAATCTGGAGGATTGTTTGCCAGGACATTGGGAGAAACTTCCTTCTCTTTTCGAATAGTTTATGAGATCTTTAATATCCACAGCAGCAAGCATCAGGGACCTCAGTTTTACGCCTAACCCAACATGGACATGAAGTGCACAAATATTGATCAAGTGATGCTGTATACCTTCAATATCTATGCTCTAATATTTATAGATTTTGTTCACAATAAATTGCTGTGAAAGATATTCTATGGTTCTTTATTACGTGCCACCAAGATGACTGACTTTGAGAGTACAGAAGATAAATTATAGTAGTGAAATTTATGTTTCATAATAATCACAAGAAGCACATCATATGAAAATATTATGCATAGTTTTACCATGGTCTTTCACTTTTCACTGCTGGGCACAATTGGCTGCCGCTTTCACCCAATTCACTTTACAGTATATTCTGTGAAGCGCTTTGAGATGTCTCAACGATATGACAAGGCGCTATATCAAATACAAGGATTATTATTATTTATAATGCACAGATATCTCCTTGTCCTCGTTACCTCTGTAGCTTCTCTAATCCCTCGCTATCTAATCCCTCTCTTCCTCTTCCCCATCCCTCATTTAAACAATTCCTTCTTCCCACCGTGAACTTTAACCAATTACATAGCAACATGACAGCATATGCTGTTAGCAGTTTGAGTTGGCACCACTGCACCATCTATTAAAATATCAAAATAATACAAACTGCTTCAGTACTCCTGAAGGTAAGAGCCACTCGTGGAGAGTTGTGGTGGGGGATTGCCAGTGGTCACCTGAAATCTCTGGTCTAGACTGCCCTACCCTCGCCACTTGTGAGATTGGGCTAGATCAAGCAGTGTAGAACTAAAGAGCATAAATAAGAACCAGCGGTTAACAATCCTTAACAGTACAAAGCAAGTCCAAATATACCAGCAGCAAATGCCGTACAAGGTGAATATCCAATATTACTACTACGTACTTACATAAATGTCCATTAAGAGCACATGCCATACCCGGGAAATTTGCTTACTTCTTTATTATCTTTCCCCCATCTGCTGATACAATATGTTATACAATATTCCTGGTGGCTAGATTTTTCAAGGATATTAGGGCAGTTCTGTAATGTTTCCGAATAACAACAACAAGCACTATATGGCACCCTCCAGACAGGGTAGAGTCTCAGAGCGCTTAACTACCCTACTCTCACCACTTGTGAGATCGGACTAAAGCAAGCAATGGATAACTAAAGAACATAAATAAGAAACAGTGGTTAACATTCCTTAACAGTCTTTATTCGGCTTAATATCCAGTTTAAAGAAAACAAAGCACGGACCCGATCCCACCTTAAAACTGCTGCTATGTAATCTAGTTATAAAATTTACGAAAACGCAAAAAAGGTCCAATTCTTTGGGTTGGGTGCCGGCTGCTTCAGTTAAACAGGAGAGGAGTAAACTATATAAGATTCATTTATTCCACTGTATGTTTCCTTCCCATCCACATTCACTGCATGAGCTTGGCATTTGGTGTAATTTTTAACCACTCAAAACTTGCAGTCTTAAGTGTGTTTTGACACCGACCACTTCTCTCACTGTATTCCTGTCCGATCTTTCCTCACCCTATCAACTTGTCCTTACTTGAATATCAAATGGGATGCAAGTTTCTATACAGTCCCTGGAGACTCATTTTTACAGGATGCATTTCAAAATTTTGCAGCCTGTTCTACGAGTGCAATCTATCAGCAATACAATATCTCACAGTTGTCACTAATCTGAGATGAACATTTTTCGAAACTACCGTGTATTTTTGACTGCGGTGTTCACCTTCAAAATGCACAGTCACTGCACTCTTCAGTAAATGCCGTGAAGCGCTTTGAGATGTTTATACGATGTGGAAACGTGCTCTATCAAATGCCAGGAGTATTATTATTACAATCAATAAAATCAAAAATCAAAAGGTATGGTTATTCAGTTAACCTTAATTAAGCGGCACTATTTATGCACAAAAGACAACACTTTATAAAGCGAGGCCAGAAATGTTGTCTTTGCCACACACCTCTCTGTACCAAACTAATATCTTTCCATTTATCATTCAAATAACTCTCATCTCTTATTCCTTGAAATCACATAGTGTACTGATTTTAACAATACCTTTTATTTTTACAAAATGCAGCCCACTTTAAGAACTAATTTACGACTGTTTGTGAGACACTGCTGTGCGCAATTGGTACCGCGTTTTGTCCACAAATACACAGTCAGTCCACTTTACAATATTCTGTGAAGCGCTTGGAGACTTCACAACAACTTGATAAGGTGCTATGTCAAATGCAAGGATTATTATGATAAGAGAAATTAGAGGCGAAATTTCTTACAGAGATTTGCTGAGAAAAATAAACATCTGTGGTAAAACCCAAACTTGCTTTCCGTAAATGAAAAACGTTTCAACTAAAAACAGAAATACCTTACCATTCAGGGATTGAAGTTGAATCATAGAAAGCTTGAAGAGATAGGAACACAAAAGATGTTCCCTTTTGTATTTACTAACTTATGCATCTCTCCCCTGACTATCCTTCCCTTCCTCCATCCATGTAGCATTGTCTTTCTGTCTTTTCTATATACTGACAGATCTTGTCTTTCTAATCAATTGATTGACCTTTCCATAAATAAACAGAGTTCCAAGCACTTGTTTATATGAGTTATTCTGTGACTATGCAAAATGTGAAGAACACAGTTATAAATAAACTCTGAATAATATTTGAGTTTATATTCAAAATAAATCCTACATTTGGCTGTTAAAGCGCAGGGTTTATGGTGATCCTTAAATGTCACTATCGGCATTTATGATCATAATTTTCCTCATTAAGATTTTAAAAAAGATTTTATGAAAGTCAAGAAATACTAATCAGAGCTGCAGAATGACCCATTTCTTCATACTCCTGTGAGAATTTATAACTGCATTCAGAATCAGCCATTTAAACAGAATTTATTATTATTATATAGAAGTATTACCACCAGTAATAACGTCAAGAATACAAATACATTGTCCATAACTGTCTATTATTTAATGATCTACCTGCATTGCAATAACCATTTTAAACCATATTGTAGATTTACTGGGTGACTCTGACAATTGTTTCTGTCTTTTTATATTTAATAACAAAATGCATATATATAATTAATAACAAAAGGTAATTAACAATAACAAAAAACTGTGCGATTTTAGTGAGTGAGCATACAGCCTTGTACAGTATTCTAACTTTATCGCATTTTATAAGTCCTGAATGCAATACACCACTTATAAAATTCAGTCTTTTCGCTTCAACAGTGAGTCCCTATTAAAAACAGAAAAGATTAAGTTTTGCCTCCAACCTCTCCAAACACAAATTGGGAAAGGAAGAGGGGACAAGCAAACAGGCTGGAATCCAGGCAAAGGGGTTCTGTGTTCCCTAAACTCTCATTACAATTCATTTCAGGAATTGGCACATAGTGACTACACAGTAAACCTCACATTCTGCAGCCTCCTCCCCTCGCACTGTTCATTACTCCATTTGCAACTAAACAAAGCAACCTGCCAGCCTTCAGTGTCTGAAGTACACTCAGTTACCAACCTCTTAATCTGTATATACACAATCCGCATCTTTGAAAGGAACTCTTCAATGTTTCTAAAAGCCCTTTCTTTACACTTTATGAAGATAGAAAGTCGAGGTGTTCTACAATTAGCACTGTTGTGTGTATTAGCAGTTGTACGTATTAATATTGTGTATGTATTTGCATGTGTTTGTATGAATAACCATGTGTATATATTAGCATGTGTATATGTATTAGCAAGTGTATATGTATTAGCATGTGCATTTATTAGCACCTATACATGGGTAATTTGTTATTGTGTATATATTAGCATGTGTATGTTTTAGCATGTGTATGTTTTAGCATGTGTATGTTTTAGCATGTGTATGTTTTAGCATGTGTATGTTTTAGCATGTGTATGTTTTATTTAGCATGTGCATGTTTTGGCATGTGCATGTTTTGGCATGTGCATGTTTTGGCATGTGCATGTTTTGGCATGTGCATGGTTTGGCATGTGCATGGTTTGGCATGTGCATGGTTTGGCATGTGCATGGTTTGGCATGTGCATGTTTTGGCATGTGCATGGTTTGGCATGTGCATGTTTTGGCATGTGCATGGTGTGGCATGTGCATGGTTTGGCATGTGCATGGTTTGGCATGTGCATGGTGTGGCATGTGCATGGTTTGGCATGTGCATGGTGTGGCATGTGCATGTATAAACTAACAAGTGTTAATCGCAGAGCATTTTAAAATGTATTCCAATTCTCTGAACGTACTTTCTTACAGTTAACCCTATGTGATGTGAGTGCTCTGAGCTGTCAGTCTGCCCTCTTGGGAGACCAGGTGGAGGAACTCTGGAGCTGTGAAGTTACCTTTTGCAAATGGGAAGGATTCAGAGACCAAAGTCAATGTTGCATGAAAGTGTTGCGGAGTCGCTCCATCCACTCCACTCCACTCCACTCCGCTCTTCACAACTTGCAACGAATCATTTTTTTTTGTTCCACAACCGATTTTATGATCGCGTACATTTTACTTCTACTTCGCGAAAGGAAACAAAAGGACAAGTTTTGCAAAAAAAAAAGATAACGTTTCGAATTACAAAAACAAAACAAAAGACCAAAGCAGGAATTGGTGTGTTCCTCCCACACACCACCACCACCAACACCCCCCACCCCCCCCACACACACACACACACCCCACCACCACCCCGTACAATTGTCTCTGTCTTATGGTTTCACACGTGCAATAAAATAAAATTGTGCCACTGCACAATTTGTGTCCTTGCAAAGTTGTGAGAGGTGTCTCACTCAGCCTGAGAATTCCCAAACTCATCCATCCATTGCACGGGGTGAAGCAATACGGGGGTGAGGGGGTTATACCTGGTTTGCAGGCGACCCGTAGAGATGCTGTGACTCCGGTGATGTGTCAGTAGTCTTGTTGTGTGGGGCTGTTTCTTTTTTGCGTTGCTGCTGCTGCTGCTGCACTTTAGCAGTGGCGATGGGTACGGTGAGGTCTGTGGATCCCGGGTTGGAAGATGCACTCCATACTCAGCGCAGCGGCTGTGGCTGGAATTGAGTCTGCACTGCCCTGACTGCACTCACACACACACAGAGAGAGAGAGAGAGAGAGACTGAGCCAGAGCAGCACCAGCACCAACTCACACACTCACACACAGAGAGAGAGAGACTGAGCCAGAGCAGAGCCAGAGCAGCACCAGCACCAACTCACACACTCTCACACACACACACACACACAGAAACACTGAGCCAGAGCAGCACCAGCACCAACTCACACACTCACACACAGAGAGAGACACTGAGCCAGAGCAGCACCAGCACCAACTCACACACTCACACACAGAGAGAGAGAGACTGAGCCAGAGCAGAGCCAGCACCAACTCACACACTCACACACAGAGAGAGAGAGACTCAGCCAGAGCAGAGCCAGAGCAGCACCAGCACCAACTCACACACTCTCACACACACACACACACACAGAAACACTGAGCCAGAGCAGAGCCAGAGCAGCACCAGTTCACACACTCACACACAGAGAGAGAGAGAGACTGAGCCAGAGCAGAGCCAGAGCAGCACCAACTCACACACTCACACAGAGAGAGAGAGAGACACTGAGGCAGAGCAGAGCCAGAACAGCACCAACTCACACACTCACACAGAGAGAGAGAGACACTGAGCCAGAGCAGAGCCAGAGCAGCACCAACTCACACACTCACACACACACAGACACTGAGCCAGAGCAGCACCAGCTCACACACACACACACACAGAGCCAGAGCAGCACCAGCACCAACTCACACACTCACACAGAGAGAGAGAGAGACACTGAGCCAGAGCAGAGCCAGAGCAGCACCTGCACCAACTCACACACACAGAGAGAGAAACTGAGCCAGAGCAGCACCAGCACCAACTCACACACTCACAGAGAGAGAGAGAGAGACTGAGCCAGAGCAGAGCCAGAGCAGCACCTGCACCAACTCACACACTCACACAGAGAGAGAGAGAGACTGAGCCAGAGCAGCACCAGCACCCTCACACACTCACACAGAGAGAGAGAGAGAGACACTGAGCCAGAGCAGAGCCAGAGCAGCACCAGCACCAGCTCACACACTCACACACAGAGAGAGAGACACTGAGCCAGAGCAGAGCCAGAGCAGCACCAACTCACACACTCACACACACACAGACACTGAGCCAGAGCAGCACCTGCACCAACTCACACACTCTCTCACACACACACACACAGAAACACTGAGCCAGAGCAGCACCAGCACCAACTCACACACACACAGACACTGAGCCAGAGCAGCACCAGCACCAACTCACACACACACACACACACAGACACACAGAAACACTGAGCCAGAGCAGCACCAGCTCACACACACACACAGACACTGAGCCAGAGCAGCACCAGCACCAACTCACACACTCACACACACAGAGAGAGACAGAGAGAGAGAGACACTGAGCCAGAGCAGAGCCAGAGCAGCACCAGCACCAACTCACACACACACACACACAGACACTGAGCCAGAGCAGAGCCAGAGCAGCACCAGCACCAACTCACACACTCACACAGAGAGACACTGAGCCAGAGCAGAGCCAGAGCAGCACCAGCACCAACTCACAGAGAGAGAGAGAGACACTGAGCCAGAGCAGAGCCAGAGCAGCACCAGCACCAACTCACACACACACACACACAGAGACACTGAGCCAGAGCAGAGCCAGAGCAGCACCAGCACCAACTCACAGAGAGAGAGAGAGAGAGAGACTGAGCCAGAGCAGAGCCAGAGCAGCACCAGCTCATACACATACACACACACACACACACCTGCCAGATCTGCTCTGGACATCACAGCAGCGCCCTCTACAGCTAACATCTTCCTCTCATCTCTCCCCTCCCCACTGTTAAAACACCTGCTAATGCCATTCGTTTGGGGCAGAATGGGATTTCTTCTCTTTTTTTGTTGTTTCCTCAGAACGTGTTGGATTGATGGACTTTTGTAACGGTGAACAGCAACCAGCAGGTCATGTATTAAAAGACAGCATCTCTCTGTCACCAGCTGGTTTGCACGCCGCAGGTACCTGCAAATTGTTTGCAAAACGCTGAATTCAAGGATTAATATAATTGCTGGAGCCCTTCGAGTCGATTTCCTTCTTTTGCTGAAATCCGAAATGTGTGGTTTAAAGCGTTTCTCCCCCCACTCTTTCTTTCCGAATGTGTATATTATTTGTAGCGCCTGATTAATTGCGCAAAACTTTAAATCCTTTTCATTTCCAGCAAACTCTAGGAAATTTAAGGTGCTTAAGGGTATATAAGGTGTTTGCCTAATACAATCCCACACACAAAAAAAAAGGTCACCGTATACAGAAGCAATCGTAACCTCTGGGCCAGTCAGAAAATGAATCTCACTTGCCAAGTCGTGAAATTCACCTGATGTACAATGTGGGTCTAAATCACAGGTTCAAATAATCAAACACAAGTCTGTGTGTTGAGAAGAAATAACGTGCTATTATGTAATAATAATAATAATAATCCTTGCATTTGATATAGCACTTTATCACGTCGTTGAGACGTCTCAAAGCGCTTCACAGAACAACCAATGAGAGAGATTACAGAATTAAGAGGGATTTAAAATAATGAAAGGACACCGACTAGATAGTGGACCACGCTTACCTTTGGTAGAGGAATCGGTTACAGCCTTAAAATCAGAGCCAGCTTGAACTGAAGTCAGGAAGCATTTCTTCACACAGAGGGATGTGAAGATGTGCAATGCTGTGCCCCAGAAAGCTGCAGAAGCATAATCAATAGAGATGTTTAGGAGAGAGAGTTAGATTCTTGGGTAGTACCTTAGAGGTATTAAGAGGTACAGTGAAAGACATTTGTTCGCCTACAAATTTGCAGTTATTACACTTCACAACAAAATCCTATGAAACACCTTGACATTATGAGATGTTTTGAATGAAACAAATGCAAGGATTATTATTTTTATAAAAGATCTTCCTTGAGATAATAAACTGTTGGAACAGGCTCAATGGGCTGAATGGCTTTCTTCGACACCTCTTTTCCTACATTACAATGAGCACTGTAATTCCCTCTGTCCACAGATTTATATACAGTTAGCAAATTCTGCAAATTGGGCCCCTATATCCTCCTTACTAAGTCACTCAGTTAAATCCTAAGAGTTTCGTGGTGAGTATAAAACCCTGCTCTTAACCCTAAAAATAAACCTGAAGTACAGTAGTAATATAGTGTAAGAAATAAACTGCTCTAAATTCTATTCTAAGCAATTAACACGGTTTATGTTGACAAACATCACTGAGTTTGATTCAGTTGCACAATTGGAGTTGTCAATTTCTACAATTTTCAAATATCCTTTTTCAAAACCTATCTGGGGAATGCCATCCTTTGGATGAGATGTTAAAACAATATCACAAGCTGGGCTGACACTCCAATGCAGTGCTGGGTGTGTGGTGGGGTTGTTGGTGAGGGTTGGGGGCTGCATTGTTGGATGTGCTGTCCGTTGGATGAGACATTAAACAAAATCCCAATTACTGTTCAGGGAGATGTTGAGGGGTATTTCCCAACAATCCCCCAAATAAAATTGATCATTCACTTCATGGCTGTTTGTGAGCCATCGCTGTGTATCTAATTGCATGCAGGGTTTAGTATCTGTATTTACAAACTACGCAAGTTCATGATGGATTATAATCAGTTTCCGTGTGGAGTTGATGTATTGTTTTAGCTTGGGGTTATCTACTTGGGCAATAATTATTAATTTTAGATGGAAAGGAGAAGAGTAGGCATTCAGCTGCTTGTAAATATGGTCACTTTACAGTGAAATTCTGTGAAGCGCTTTAAGATATTTCGACGACACTATCTCAAATGCAAGGATTATTTATTATTACTAAATTTTGCAGCCCATACTTCAAATTGCCTCAGGCAGTTAAAACAATTTAACGTTTAAATCAAATTACCCAAATAAGTAATAAAATGAAAAGCTGACCATGCCAGATAAGACAGGAATCAACAAAACTACCACCACCAGGAAGCACTCCAAAGTTCTCTGAGGTTACAACACAATCCAGCAGGGGTTAAAAGTTTATTATATTAATTGTTTCAAACAACAAATATGCCTGGCTGACATTGAATAGACATGTACTGGTTGCAGCCAAAGAGCAGTCCTGTGAATCACCCTGCAGAGGCAAAGAGATTGAACTGTTTAAGCAGATAGATAATAATAATAATCCTTGCATTTGATATCACACCTTATCACATCTTCGAGACGTCTCAAAGAACTTTGCAGAATATACTGTACAGTGAATTGACTGTATATTTTGTGGGTGAACCACGGCAGCCAATTGCGTACAGCAGTGTCTCAAAAACAGTCGTGGATTGAGTGACCAAATTATAATTTTTTTTGGAAGGGATTATAACGCCTGGAAAAGTAATCTGCAAATCGACTAACAATCAGGTTCCTACTTACTGCTAGGTAAACAGAGGCGTGTGGTGTAAGGAAACTTGCTCAACGTTTCACCTTGCCCGTAATCGAACCCAGGTCTCTCACTTGCTAGGCGAGTGCTCTAACCACTAAGCTGCAGGACTCCTCAAGCTACAGGACTACAGGACTCAATTGTGAAATTGTCAAGAATATCAAACCAAAAGAGAGAGCAAGCTATTTATTAAAGGACATGTGAAGGAACTGCTGGCAAAAAAAAACTCTTTAAGTTTGAAATCAGAGTGCAGAAAACCATGCCGAATTAGAGGAAACTATGTCCTTGAAAATCGTATACAAGGGACAGCCAAGCCGTCCAGGGAAAACAGTGTTGTCCCCAACTACTGTCAAAACAATTGGAAGAGTCAATAAATCTGTGTTCAATGTTGGATCTTTCTCTTCACAAATTTTGGATGACCTATTTCAAATGTACTAAACCTGGCTCTGTTACTCTCTGGTTATTCACTCCCTCCGCTCAGCAGGCTCCAGTCTGCTCCATTTGCCCCGCCCAGCCCACCCCGCCACTGGCAATCGGACCTTCAGCCTCTCTGCCCTAACCTTTGGAACTTCATCCCACAGTCCCTTCCC